GATGCGTTGGTTAATATTAAAAATGTATTCTTCTGGCAATAAACACACCAAAGTGTTTTCATGCGTTTTGCCTGTTGTTGTCGTAGATGGAACGGTTTTTTATTTGTACAAATGCTTCAACTACCAAAATATTTCAAAAAAAAAAAATGTGTATTATTATAATACTATGCATATTATTTTCAAGTCTCTATAGACATTTTTTATAGACTACCGATGAATTTGTTACGTTGAATATCCAACATTTGTACCCGTATATTGTATAATATTAATAAATTCTTCATGTTTTTAAGATATCTCTTCCACCACCACCAAACGGTTTAAAACAAATATCCTTCACAGTATAATGTCAATAGTAACACCATTAATAATGTCAGTGTCTATACATATCAGGCTTTTTTCCGTGCCCTGAATTTTCGTTGTATGAAATGCGCCGATACGAAATACGAAAAACAACAATTTTTGTAAATTGTTATTCAATTTTTAGCATTTTATTTTTCTTATTTTCGTATCAAAGTGAATACGTAGTAATTATATTATGAATAATAGCACATATAAAAACACATTATCATCTATAACCAACCACATCTTATTGGCATTATAAACCCAGAAAATATAATTCGCTATTATTATACTCATTAACTTTTTTTTTTTTTTATAGACTACCGATGAATTTGTTACGTTGAATATCCAACATTTGTACCCGTATATTGTATAATATTAATAAATTCTTCATGTTTTTAAGATATCTCTTCCACCACCACCAAACGGTTTAAAACAAATATCCTTCACAGTATAATGTCAATAGTAACACCATTAATAATGTCAGTGTCTATACATATCAGGCTTTTTTCCGTGCCCTGAATTTTCGTTGTATGAAATGCGCCGATACGAAATACGAAAAACAACAATTTTTGTAAATTGTTATTCAATTTTTAGCATTTTATTTTTCTTATTTTCGTATCAAAGTGAATACGTAGTAATTATATTATGAATAATAGCACATATAAAAACACATTATCATCTATAACCAACCACATCTTATTGGCATTATAAACCCAGAAAATATAATTCGCCATTATTATACTCATTAACTCCCCTAAATTTCACACCTAAATATTTTTGTTACAATTAAGTTAGGTTTTTTTATAAATAACCACATAAAAGACGTAAACATTTTTAATAAAATAATGTAGAAAATTTCATCAACAACCTTTAATTTTAAAATTCAGTTTGTTTTAACCCTTTCGTTCCTAACATCCTCGTACGAACTTTAAAAAATCGAATAAAATATTAACAATGTATTATCAACGTTTTAAATACAAGTTCTTGTATAGATTGATGATAAAAAAATCGACACAGCTATATTAATAATCAATATTAGTCCGATATTATGGTTTGTTTAGCATCATAGGTTTTCCTTATTTTCACAAATTTACAACGTCATCATTATGGAAATTTTTTTAATATAGTTATATATTTTTTTATAACCAGTAAAAGACTTTTTTTGTAATTTGTGTAATTTTAGGTGAAATAAAAGTTATTATTTCTACGATATATTTATATTGACTTCGTTACTTCCCGACATACTTGTAGAACGATTTTAAATTTTGACGTGTATAACTAAGCTAGAATTCTAAATTTACTTCTGAAACTTCGTAAATACATTTTTTTAGTCCTATACAATAATTTACATGGTGTTAAAGCGCTTGGAAATGTGTTAAGCTAAACATTATACTGGACTTATACTACTTTATAAGTATTATTATGCTATACACATTACAATATACTATTGTATATTATGTTTTTTTTTTAATTTCTAATTAAGTATTTTTATTATTTCTAATCTTCTAAACCATAGCACGAAATAAATTATAAATTATTGGTAAATAAAACTTATTTTAGTTAAGAAATGCGTTATGCAGGACTTGTAAATTCGTTAATAACTGTAAAATATAAGTAGTGGTTATTTTCATAAAGTAATATTGTTTTGTTAAATAAGAGACTAATAGAAACAAATACATGTAACATTGTGGTCACACTTTTAATGGAAGATAACCTTTGATAGATATTTTTGTTGATTCATAGTTCCTAATTTTATAAGTATTATTTTCTCATAGTCGGTAATTAGTATTTTTCTGATTTGGGTTTCACTCGCAATATTGTTTTTGCACTTTTCTCAATTTTCAATAATCCTAAACACATTTTTTTATCGATGCGTTGGTTAATATTAAAAATGTATTCTTCTGGCAATAAACACACCAAAGTGTTTTCATGCGTTTTGCCTGTTGTTGTCGTAGATGGAACGGTTTTTTATTTGTACAAATGCTTCAACTACCAAAATATTTCAAAAAAAAAAAATGTGTATTATTATAATACTATGCATATTATTTTCAAGTCTCTATAGACATTTTTATCGATAAAAACCTTTTTCTGTTAGATTAAAATATGTAACAAAAAATTATTGGAAATTAAAAATAATTTTTAAAATCAAAATTCACGTGAAATTATTTTATAATACCTAACTGTCAAACAAAAGTTCAAAAAAAATATTTATTAAAACTTTTCGAAATTAGAAGTTTTTTCCATTTTTTTATCTAAATACAACCTCGTGCACCAAACATACATCTCGACCGACTTAAATGTTTGAAATTATATTTTATTAGGACAATTTATTAAAAGAAACACATATCGCTATTGTTGTAATTTGTTTTATTTAGATAACACTATAAATATTAATAATGCAGCATACTATTTTATATTATTATTATTTATTCCATCTAATACCGTATGAAATGTATGTATTATATTTTTTATTTCATGACTTCGGCTTATTGTCAAATGAACCAAATACATATTTTATACAATAATAAACGGAAATAGCTTTTGCAATTTTCAGTAGGTACTTAGTATGTAATAATCAAGTGTGTACCGACTAAGAACAATATAATATTAACAAATTGAAAATATTAGGCCAATCTAGCTCCCTTTTCGACAATTGCAAGTTGATGGAACGTCGATCCAAGGTAGCCTGTACTTTCAGGTGTGTTCGATTGGAAGAAAACGTATAGTCTAAAACACAAGTTTTACAATAATATCATGTTAACTATTTTATAAAATACAATTATTAGCTTTCGATTAAAGTAACTTAGCCTGTCTCCCTTCTGAAATTAAATAATCTCAACACTTAAATCCTGATATTGCGCTTAAGAAATAAAAAAACCAAAAAATCTTATTCCGCTTTTGGGGAAGGGTTGATGAAATTTTGATCTGAGAGTATTTTCTAAAAGCGACACACCTCACAAATGTTTGGATATATATTTTTATTTGTCACAACGGTATAGTTATGTATTAGGTGAATCTATAGTAACAATATTAGCTTATAGGTCATACTCGTACAATAATTGTGCCTAACTAACAACCTTGGGGAGATGATAAAATGTGTTTAATGCTATTGTGCAAACTACAAACACAAAGAGCCGTGAACTTCTTAGGGCTTGAACTATCAGTTCTAAAATGGTGTACCGCACTTACTTATATGTATAATATAAAACATTTGGTAAAAGTTTGGTAATGGAGACTTACTTTTACCGTAAGAACTTGAATAAAAATATGTTATGCGTAGTTGTAAAATGGAAAATTTTAAAAATTCAAACAGTTACTAGTAAAAATGTATCTCCTTTACCAAACTTTTACCAAATATTCTATGTATATACAAGTAATAAGTGCTGTATACATTCCAGAATGTTTAGTTCAAGCCCTAAGAAGCTCAAGGGTCTTAAATGTTTTCATTTTTTGTACAATGCAAAACTTTGAAGTTACTATTATACATCATAAAAAAAATGGCAAAAAACAAAATTATGAAAAAAAGTACCTATAGTTTGATGTCAGAATTAAAAAAAAAAAATTGTCGTTACTTTGACCTTGAGTTAATATACAAATTCATGACATTTATACAATTTTGAATTAGTTTTTCATTTTTAACTTATTAATAATTAAAAAAAATTCATGTTATACAGTATGTGTTTTACTATTGTTTACAATACAATTTTATTAAGAAAAGCGACAGCACTTTAGACCTTATCGGGTTAATCCTAATACTTTTTTCTTTGGAAAATTGAGCTCGGTTATAATTACCTATTTTTTGGTATTCCAACAGTTTCGTGAACGTAATCTGTGATGGCGGCAATATGTTTTTTATTTTCTTCTGGCCCTAAGCTACCAATACTTGTGACTTGAACAATTCCACATGGCTCGCTGGATGCACCAAAAGTCATTTTCAAACCACTATTCACAAGCGTTATACAAAACTGAAAAACAATGTATATTTATAATATTACATTGAAATAATTTTTTTTAATGATTCATTGCAAATTGAAATGCGGTTTGAGATTATTTTACTGTCTGTAGTATAGTATAATGTCGGTGTCCCAAACACCTGTGGGGCTTTTTCCAAAAAATTCTCTGAAATTAAGTGTTCTTAGTTAGGTAGGTATAAGTTCTCAGAAATAAAAATTCCATCAGAACAGAAATTTAAAAGTGCTCAGCAAAACGTTGACACACTTATGTAATTTAAACTTATTAGTTATTTAGTATATTTTATAAATGTGTATTGGCAATATTACTATGAATGATTTGTCCTGATCAATATTTTGTATTAAAAATACAATTTACTACGAATTTAGGGTTTTATTATAATTAATAACTAGAAACTAGTTCTGAACTTATTTTTGTCATCAACAACTTTTTAAAGATCTAATACCTACACATTTTGGTCGTTTTCAATAAATGTCAAATAGGAAATCTTATTTTTTTAAAAGATCAAGAAATTTGTTATAAAAATAAAAGTCATTTCAAAAATTTGTCGGTCTCGGAATGTTATTTATATATTTACACTATCATTTAAATTTAGTACAGTTCCATTTTAATTGTATTTTGAGCCAATTAACGTTTAAATTATTGGGTTTAACTTATTTCTAAAATTAATTTTATTATTTCCGTAGGTACTCACTTTGGGTCCTTTGCCAAGTGTATTAGACAGCACTTTCAAAGCTCCGCTTAAGAAATCATCAGGTATTTTTGATGAGGGTAAGTTTGTGTCCAAACTTAAACGAGGCATTTTAAGATTTTTTTGATTATTTTAAACTGAACAAAAATTAAATCGAAATGATCAAGTATAGCGACCGTTCACGTTCTATAACACATTAATACTTGTTCGGTTACATAATTCGGTATTATAATTTTTTTTCGAGTATAGATATTTAATTTTTTTAACAGTAAGTTATTGGATATCGTTATAATTATTAAAAAAACTGCGTATAAATATAACGTTAATAACTGTTAATCTTGATTTTTTTTTTTGCAAATCGTTACATAATATTTTGTCTGTCGCACTGACCAAACTCATAGGGCACACACACATTTAATGAATTATGTAAGATATAACTATAATAATTTAACAACCTATGTTATTTGTGGCCATTCGACTTTCAACACTATAGTAAGGCAAGCACCTACATATACACTCATTCCAATTGATTGTTAACTCCAAGTACACAAAAAAAAATGCCAACCTTAAGTCTAATCACAAACGTACCCAAGTACAAAGTACCGGCAAGTTTCTTGTCTGACGCGTCCAAGTTGGTCAGTGAGATTTTAAAAACTCCAGAATCGGTAAGTTTCTTCAACTTGTATTAAAGTTGCAGCCATGTGTAATTCATATAGATTAGGTACCTATACTTAAATTAACATTGGATTTTTTTTTTCAAAAATGTTTATTAAATAAATATTTAACAATTGAAATATTTACCCACAACGACTAGACTAAGACATATTATTAAATTAAGTAAAAAATTAAAAAATATTATTTTTTCAAAAAAAAGAACAGTATAAAACACAGTTTAGATCTTAACGCGTTTTAATTTTTTTTTCTAAAAATTGTGTTTTGTACATTCATATGTTGTTTCACGTTGCCAGTAATAGGTAGTTATTTTTATGTATTTCTTTTTTAATATAAATTTATCGATTTTTAATAATTAATGTCAACTAAAAATAAGTCTTTTTTTTTAGCTTTATTTATTTCAATTTTTGATGTTGATTTTTTTTTTTAGGAAATTTCTGTTAAAATAAAAACTGGAGATCCAATGTATTGGCATAACAACTATTCTTACTGTGGAATTGGTAGTTTGGCCGGAGTAGGCATTTATGGATTCGAAGAAAATAAGAACAACTCCTTTTCTATTTACAATTTTATTGAAAAACAACTTGGCATTCCACAAAACAGGTAATTGTTCTAACTAAACGAATTATACATAATATTGTGATGATATTTTTCTATAAAGTTAAATAGTATATAATAGTATCTAAAAAAACCAGTACAGTGGGGTCGGGGCATAGTGGGGACGGAGCTTAGTTGGGTCGGGGCAAAGTGGTGGCGGGGAGGTCACAGGTTTACAGGAATTTTTAATTCTGAAAGTGATAAAATCACTTTCGAAAAAACGCTTCGATGCAAATCGGTAGTTAGTATTTTCAAGCCAGTACAGTCCAAACCAAGCACAGTATAAACCAGCAAAGTTAGAAAGTTTTAAATGAAGGTTTTGTATTTACAAATGAGCATCAAAGCGTTTATTTGAAAGCGATTTTATCCGAGAGGACTAGTACAGTAGAGTATTGGCATAATGTAATCAAAGCAATGAGGAAACGGAGATAAAACCCAAGTAATAGACCCTATGCATTAATCATACGCCAAAATAACTCAACAATCTTACTATAGTAACAATACTCAAACCCAAAATACAACTAATGCTGACAAAGATTTTACTAAAAATTTTTTTTCATTTCTAACTGATCTCAAATTATTAATCAACCCCATAATATACTTGTTAATAACAGTAATAATTAAAATTGTTTACAAAAAATGCATAATGATTCTAATCTTAATAAAACTTCTCCCAAAGTACTTCTTTAGAATGCTAATGGACTTCAATAGCATAAAAATGAGTTACAAACTATATCTAACGACAATATTATTGACGTAGCTCTAATTAGTGAAACACACTTTACTGAAAAATCACACTTTAACTTATACAACTATACTTCATACAAAACTAATCATCCTGACGGCTCATCTCACACTGGTACTTCTATTTTAATATCAAATACCATACAACACAACAAAATCAGACCGTACCAAAAACAACACGTTCAAGCGTCAAGCGTGTCAATAAATATTAATAATGTTCCAATTACTATTTCGGCTGTCTATTGTCCTTCTCGTTATAATATACGTCAAGTTGATTTTCAAAAATGTTTCGACACTTACGGGTTTGTATATGAATATGCCCAACTAAATATTTACAGGAACAAATTTTTATTTATTTATTTCGTTTACAAATTTTGTTTTACCCCTAATCCCTATAATATCCAAACTTTTAGTTGGACCCAGTTTTTATTGAGTCGGTCCAACTAGAAATGTTTTGTACCCTGTAAGTTTATTTGGACCAAATTTTTATTTTTGGAAGAGTTACCGATTTACTTAAATTTATAGCGATCACACTGTAAATCTTGTGCCCAATATATTTTGTTTTTTGAAGGGGTTTCTTTAAAAGAAATATATTTATCAATACATTTTTGATTTAATGCTCTGTATAATAATATAATTATCATGTTGACTTATTTGGTACTAATAATATTTGGAATATTGGACAATAATTTTATACAACACTAATCAAAATCGTTTTTTTGTTTGAAAAATATTTATTCGGCGCTAGTGTTTTTTAGAAACATGAACGTTCTGTTATTTTACAAATAACATTGCCTTTTGCGTCATATTTGAATAAAACTGTATAAATATAGTATAAATTACATTTTAAAAATAATGTATATTATATCCCAGTATATTTTATTCTACACATAATGTTATCCAAATTAATTAATTGTAAAAGTTTTTATAAACAACGGTCTTACTTTTACTATGGTTTGATATAGGGACACGATAAACTTCTAGTTGGAAGAACTAAATAATGATTTGGCCCAACTAAATATTTACAGGAACAATTTTTTATTGACAAAAATCTAACATTTTGACTTATTTGGTACTCATTTGGTGATAATATTATTTTAGGGATATTTGGAATATTGGACAATTGTTGTAAAAAATTATTTTATACTACGCTAACCAAAATTGTTTTTTTGATTGCGAAATATTTATTCGGCGCTACTTAGTGTTTTTTATACACATGAACGTTCTGTTCTCTTACAAATAACATTGCCTTTTGCGTCATACTTTAATAAAACTGTATAAATATAGTATAAATTACATTTGTTAAATAATGTATATTATATCCCTTTATATTTTATTTTACACATAATGTAATTCAAATTAATTAATTGCAAATGTTAAAAAAAAAAAAATATCAATTGAAATTAGATATACATAAAATTGTTTTAATGATTTGATCAATTTTTTTTAAAGATTTTAGGTGTTTTTGTTAAAATATACGAAATCTGCGAAAACACAGTTTCCCGGCAATTAAAAAAAAACTGTAGTGCCGAATTTTTTTCCCGTTTAATGTGTTATGGGTACATATGAGTTCCAACTACTGGCAAATTTTCAACCCAAAAGTTTTAAAATTACCGCTAAAAACCCCGAAAAACAAAAAAAATTGTACCCCCCCTAGGGGGTCGGGAAATGGGTATAGTTTAAGTTTGACACAACTGACGTGTGCGGGCATACCAAATAATTATTTCCGATACATTTCAACTCGATCCGACTCTTTTTCTCGAAATTATAGCCATTAAAAGTTCTAACTTAAAAACTCGTATGGTTTTTTTTTTGTTTTTTCAACTTTCGTCTGTGAATAATTTATTTTTTTCAACTTTTACCCCCCCCAAAGTACAAACTAAACAAAATTTGTGATTTATAGAGTTGCTATTCGAAGGAATTGGTCAAGTATTAAAAAAGTTACAGTATATACAGCGAAAAAAAAAGCCCACATCAGAGTAAAACCAATACCTTCTCGCTTTGCATCGAAGCTAAAATAAATTCAGAAAAAAATATTAACACCTTTTTTTTTTAACGTGTAAAATGATCAATGAAAAATATGCCTACTTCAATTTTTTAATTTTTGTTATCCTTATTTTGTTAGTTTGAGTGTAAAATGTAAATTAAGTATAATGTTATTATGGAACGCAAAAATTAGTGAATCGTCATAATATTATAATTTATACCGATAAAACAAAAGCTAAAGTTTTCTTACATAACCTTATAATATTTTTAAAATGACAGCTCTTATGATATTTCATTACAATTAATAATACTACAGTTTATTGTAAAACAAGCTTATTAATTAACTATACAGTAAATTTGTGGAATTTCGTTTTTATTTTGTAGATTATATATTTCGTTTGTGGATCAAAAGCCGTCGAACATCGGAGTCCAAGGAACTACTTTGGAAGAAAAGATTTTATAAAACAATTATACAATATGTTCATTATGTTAGTTGCACTTTTTAATAAATAGATGAAATAAAGTATTGTTGTAGACATTTTTCTATATTTTGTAAAGCTGACGTATCTAATATTCAATCATAGTTCATAAAATTGTGTGTTAGGTGGTAAGTTTTTTTTTGTTATTTTTAAAATGTAAAATTATATTAGACATAAGTGGGTCATTTAACGACCCACACTATTCTTAAAATAATGGCAATTTTGTAGTTTTTAATTTTTAAAAACCTTTTTTGTTTATGCTATACTACAATATTATACAATATTCAAACTGTAATGTTGTTTGGTATTCTCTAGAGCTTTATCAACTCCTAAAATTTATTTCGCAACATGTACCTATATTTAATTGAAATTTTCAATTAAGAATAATTCACTGGAAAATTCGACTGGTCAATAACCAGTCACTAGTTTTGAATAAATAGTTCTAAGAAATTTTAATTTTAAATTACTTTAAACTTTAAAAATAACTATTTAAAACTGTTTATCGACTTATTGTTAATAAGTTAACATGTGTTAAGTTATGGTATCGGTTGTTGTTTTAATAATTTTAAAACTATTTATTCAAAACTGGCTATCGTACTAATCAAAGTTTTCAGCAAATTATTCTTAAATTAAAAAGCTTATCAAATACATATATGTGTTACTATTTAAGTTTCAAAAGTCGATGAAGTTCTATAAAATACTAAAAAATATAAAAATTTGAGTATTGTTTAATTTTGTAATATAGTGCTAATGTCAATAATTTTAAATGAAAACTTGTGTAGGGCGTTAAAGTAATCACCTGGCATATCAAATAATTAATAGGTATATATATATATAAAATATCGTAAAAAATATTCTTCATACTTGAAGTAAACGCTATATATCAATATTATGTCTTCAATATAGTATACACTATAGTATAAATACATATATGTATCTTTCTTTATATTTAGGTCTTGTTTGGTTGAAATCAAAATGTAAATATATATATATATATTTATATATTCAAAGCTAAAGAAACTAAAATGTACATATTAATTCTTAGACTCTGAATTTAGATATAAAATAATAGTTTTTAAAGGATTGAAAAAGGTTGGTTTTTTTAACGTTTTAGACATAAAAGCCTGAGATTAATTATTAAATATTCAGGCTGCCTGACAACAGTTCTACTATTTAGGATGGTCCGA